ACCCTAACCCTAACCCTAACCCTAACCCTAACCCTAACCCTAACCCTAACCCTAACCCTAATCAGCCTCCGCAGTCCAGCGGATGATTTGATTATTGCGGCTTGGATTGACTTGCAGTACGTGCGAGAAACGATGTCGAGGTGCGTAGACATGAGCTTCTGCTCGGGCGTGTGGGCGGTGCAATCGATGGACTGATTGACCTGTTCGGGGGTAAGCGACCCGACGAGTGAATAAAAGTCTTCGTTTTTGAAGAATAAGTCGATGTTGCATGAGTTGACGGGTTTGAGATGGGGAGATGGGCGTAATCGGGCCTGGGAAGGGTGGTGAAGGGCTCGGTCGAAAAGGCGGGCCGTCGAACAGGTGTAGCGAGAAGGGAGGTGTCGACTGGGAAAACGACGCGTGGATCGAAGCCGACGGTTTGCCCATAGGCGATGAAATGACCAGGCGACTGGTCAGATGAGCGCGCACAAGTGCGCTGATAGTGATGCGACGCGAGAGATGTGTGGCTGGAATACCCGTGGTGACACGATTGACAAAACAGATAAGGATTGGGAAGAATGGGAAGGCCGAACACCGGCAGGATACGGGCTTGCGGGAAGGGCCAGTCGTGGGTGGCTGCGACGTTGTACTTGGACCGAAGCTTTTCGCCGATGTCGTCCGGAACGTCAAGGCGGGGCCATTTGTCCAGAAGGTGACGTCGGAGTCGAGCGGGAAGGACGGCCTTGGAGCAGGGGATACATATGATGAGGCGGAGTTGGGTGTTGATGACGAGATTGTATCGCTCAAGGTCGTGATCGTCGTCGTGTGTGACAGTATCGGGGCCGGGGGTGATTTCGCATTCCGTCGGGTCGAAAGAGGGCCAGTCATCGAGGGAGGGAATGGCTGGCGATGAGAAGTCCTCGACGATAGGGATATCGCCAGGCTGTGATGATTCGGCAGTGTGGAGGGTGCCCGAGGCGATGGGTTTGTGTGCTGCGGGGATTGCCGGGAGGGAGCGGGGACGAGGTATAAGTGGAGACGGCAAGGGCGCGAGCGCGCTTAGATCGAGCGAATCGTGTGAATTGCTAGGTACAAGTTTGGGAGATGTCTGCATATCTTCGCGGGCGCAAGGAACGTCCACGTCAGTTTCGGGTACTTCGACGGCCTCCCCTGCTTCCACCAGCTCTGTGTCGACGTGTTCCAATTGGCACAAATGTGTACGGGTGCCGGCGACCTCCGCATCCATCTGTGCTGCCTCGAGGGACTCCGCCATTTCCGCCCTATCCGTTCCCTCCACCCGCTCCATAACGCTTCCGACCTCCTGCCCTGTCAGGACCGGTTCCAAGCGGCCCGCCAACTCTGATACAGCAACTCCGAGCTCTTCGAGCGACGTCGGGTCTGTATTGGGCGCGTGAGTCTGCGGACAACCGGCTTGGCGGGCAACGTGGTCCTGCGATGAGGTCAGCGGGGTGTGATGAGAAAAGGAAGACCGGGACCCAAAAAGCGCGGGGATCATGGTGTTGGAAGGGACAGCGGAGACACGCGAAGAGACCACTGGGACCGCGGTGGAAGGTGTGGACTTCCTGTTCGCCGTAGTAGGTCGTCTGTGTGACGGCTTGATGAAAGAGGCGCCGGTGAACTGCGCGGCTGCCGTCGCTTTCTTGAAAGTAGCGACGGCAGGCCTTGCAATAAAATTGCTCGGGGAGGGGCGGCTCGCGACGTGAGAGTTTTCGTTCGGCGGTCGACATGGTAAAGGTTAGTGCGAAGGTCAAAGGTGAGCAAGTGAATGCGCTGCAGCAAAAGACGTACCGAGGAGAAGCTGTAAGGAAGGTCGTCCGTAGCCCAGTAGAGTGTAATGGGACGGAAGTGCAGATTGGCGGGGTGGAAGAGAAGACTGCCAGGGTTTCGGGGTGACAGGAACGAGGCGCGAAGAGTGGAGGGGCGGGCTGGACGGTCTAGGCCATGAGACGGAGGCCGTGAAATTAAGGACTGACGTCTGTGTGTCCATGTGAGAAGAGATCGAGGAGGGAAGAGGAGGTTTCAGGTTAGCTAGTGGTGTGTCGAGAGGAGGGGAGACGTGTCGCGGTTGATGGCTGGGAGCAGATGTGACGTGGCGTGACAGAGCGATCGCAAAGACTTGCAACAGTCGATGGCGACGTTCTCAACGATTAAAGACACGATGGGTATGGTATTTCATAGGAACAAAGTAGAGATTGAAATAAAGATATCTGCTGATTCGGTTTTGGATTGACGGCCCGGCGACCACATGATCGAGACGAGGATGGCTAGGAGCAGATGTGGTGTGACGTAACAGACCGATCGCAAAGACTTGCAACAGTCGATGGCGTCGTTCTCAACGAATAAAGACACGATGGGTATGGTATTTCGGCACAACGATATTAGCATGTGAATGAACATTCCTGCTGATTCGGATTTGGATTTGAAGCCCGGCGACCACATCATCGAGACGAAAACATTTCATTGATGTCAATGTGGCTGTGACAGGGAAAGATTTGTCTATATCTCGGGCTGTGGCCCTCAGAAAAATACGAAACTTTCAGGGGATGTCCCAGGGGCTATTTGGAGCCATCCTAGACGTCGGCGACCACTTTGTGGAAAGAATTGAGTTCGGCGACCACGCCATCAGAGAACATTTGATTTTTGGTCGGGCTGAAAACACTAGAAAGTGTCGGCTCCGCCGACAGAATGCCTTGCCACTTGTTACAGAGACAGTTACCGATATAACTTTAATCCGGCATTAATACACAATCATTTTGTCAAGCATATTGTAACTAAGCCCCAGCAGCTCTCGTCTTTTTCTTTTTCGGGCTCTCATCCATGTCAGGAACCGCTGGTCGACACTTTTTCGGGCTAGGCGGCGGAGCGACCTGGGACTCGATGACGCGTATCTTGACGATGTCCACAACAAATGTGTCTTGTTCCTGGCTCATGAACAAATAGTGGGTCATATTGAAAGCGACCGCAATCGAAGCTCCCAGGAGTTTCTTCATGTAATCTTCCGGGGCGATAAATGTCGTGTTGTCTCGCAGCTCAGGGAGGGAGACAATACGACTGTTGCGCGACTTCGATGAGAAGACGTTCAAAAAAACTCACAATATGGCCCTACTTGCGGAGGATGACAGATTAGAGCGATTGAACAAAGATACAAAGAGATGGTGGGGGAGAATGGCGGATGCGCTGGAGACGTGAAACGGACAATGAGATTATTGTCGGGGACTTACAACGCTGAATGTCAGCCTGACGCCCGATCAACCTGCGCTCTTACCTACACTCAATCGACCTGTGTTCTTATTGAGCGACTGTCTTGTACAAGTAGCATGGAATCAATGGCGCAGAAAGGTACGAGGCTCGGCGCAAACGTAAATATTGAATAATTGACTTGGCCGTACGTGAGATACATGAGATACATCACACTTTGATCATCACGCGGATCACACCACGGATCAGGTTCATCTGATTTGTGCGTTAATTTAGGGTCTGGAGAGTGCCTTGACAAGCAAGGCAATACTATCGTTGACCCACATCTGCAATTGCACCCTGATCTGCAATCCGTGATAAACACACATTTCCTGGGCTTCGACATCCCTCAATGTGTCCCGGGTGGACTCCCAGAGATTATTATATAGCTGTTCAATGCTCCTGTAAAATATATACATTCCATATTTTGAAATAATTAGACCTGAGACCATAAATCTACCTTCAGAACACTTTTTTACTCATCTTGACTCAGAGATATGGGATTTCGATGCAGAAAAAAGCTCACACCCTTAGATTTGCTACTGGTAACACATGGTTGATACATCCTGAGTCCAGGCCTCGCAGTTAATGAGAACAGAGCATGTGTGATGGAGGCCATCAATTTTCAACTCCTGCATGTAATAACCAAGACCCGCCTCCAGTCAGGCCACATCATTGCCGAGACGTGCCGGATTGCATCAAAGTGTGACCCCGTGTGACAAGCATTTGCAAAAGGGGGGTCAGCCCCGCCCAAAAAAGTGATTGTTTTGCAACTGTGTGGCTTCATCCTCTGCCCACAGATAGCGAGTAAATGTCATGAAGACAGTCTCAAGGGTTTTAAATTTAGTATCCTCAATTTCAATATATTATGGGAAGGTAAATGAAGCTGGATCAGAGCTCACAACACACCCTGTTCTTCACTGGCAATCTCGACAGAGGAGATCTTCTCCAATGTAAAGGCAGCTTTGAAGGAGAAATCCTTCAACAGAACTGAATTTGCTCTATATATCCTAGATGGGATTAAACATCCAGATGAAGACATTCACCATGTGCAATGGATTCACTATAATACATCCTAGATGGGATTAAACATCCAGATGAAGACATTCACAGACTTATAGTTTGTGCAATGGATTCACTCTAATACATCCTAGATGGGATTAAACATCCAGATGAAGACATTCACAAACTTATAGTTTGTGCAATGGATTCGCTCTCTCTTTTTTTTTGTGTCGACTTACGCCGCGCCCCATATCTCTGTGGATACACTTCCGATTGCCAAGATTTTTATATATTCAGAATCAGCTCAAAAAATGCTCCCAGGATACACTGGACTTGGATCATTTGGTAGTGTATCCACAGTGCAGCAGACCAAACAAGCAAAAATGAGCCAAAAATTGGTGCTTGGACATGGCCATATCTTGGCAACCGGTGATCGGATCGCTTAGGTGTGGCTGTACAAAATGAGCCTAGACCCCTGAAACCTGTTCAAAATTTTCTTGGCGGGCCGAGATACACTGCGGTTGCGAAAGTGGGGGATTCACCGCGGTGTAACCCTAGTATTAGGATATTAAAATCGGGATTCTACATGCTTAATATGTATCTAACGACCCTAGTGAAAAACCGGAATGTCGTGTACACAGCCCTCTGCGTCCCCATCCCATCAAACGCACTGATGGGAATTGATCGTTTTGAGACCCGCGGAATGGGATCTGGGACACGCACCATTGACCGGAAGTGGGACGCCGGCGTGCGCTTTCATTGTTCAGACCCTTAGCTAAGATTCCATGTCGAGTTTGCGGACAGTGGAAGGTCGTGTGGAGAAAAAAAACTCACCTGCAGACCTGCTCGTCCGCATTGTCCCAGTGTCCCAGTGCTACACCTCCTCCATCGAAATCCAAACCCCTCCCCGCTCCCACTGGACGAGTGCATGCTCGAGGCATCCTGATTGATATGTGGCGCAGCATGTAGAGTAAGCGAATGGTGCGAGGGAAGCTTTCAGAAACGCACCGGTAGACCTAGTCCCATCTGCCCTCCCGGTGCTCTGCCCACTCGCCCATCCGACTCCCCAGCCCCCATGCACCCGATTTCTTTCGTCGGTCCGGTTGCCGAAAGTCGATCGCTGTGAGTTGAGGGTGCGCGATCCGCGCGATAGAGAGGAGAGCCAGAAAGTGCATTGAGTGTCGTGACGCAGGCCCGCATCTGATTCCAAGATGCACGATGAAGTGATCTTCTGTTGCGTACGCGACGCGATTGTGTTGAAATAGTGAGCGGCGGGAAGAAGAGCGGCCGGTGAGAAACGTACCTGTGAACCAGTCCCCCATGCACTCTCGCGCTCCGGCCACTCGCCCATAAGCCTCCCCTGCCTCTGGTTGCCCGAGGACGATGGCCCACTTTTGTTCTCCGGTCGCTATGAGTCAGTTCTTGCGAGTCCCTAGTTGGGCTGTGCGTTCGGGTAATGGAGAGGGGAGTGTACAGCGGCGCGGCGTGGGTGATGTCTCAGATAGCACGATGCGCTGCAGGATATGAGACCGTGCGTTCGAGCCCGAGAAAAAGCAGACGCGGACTGGATCCGGCGCTCTGTGGCACGGAACGTTGGATGGGCGGAGGGGGAGACCGATCGTAAAAGAGGACGCACCTGGGTGTCACCCATCCGCACTCTCACTCTAGTTGACCTCTCATCTAACCGGCTCCCATGATTTCCAAACCCCCCAGTCCACTGTCCCGGGGCCGCGAGTTGGCGACCGTGAGTTGGTGGTCGAAGTGCGTGGTCGAAATGCGTGGAGCGATGCGATAGAAGGTATGAGGAGAGTGATGATCGTGCAGGTGGTATAGAGAAGCCGTGATGTGACATGACAGAACGATCGCAAAGACTTGCAACAGTCGATGGTGTCGTTCTCAACAAATAAAGACACGATGGGTATGGTATTTCGGCACAACGATATTAGCATGTGAATGAACATTCCTGCTGATTCGGATTTGGATTTGAAGCCCGGCGACCACATCATCGAGACGAAAACATTTCATTGATGTCAATGTGGCTGTGACAGGGAAAGATTTGTCTATATCTCGGGCTGTGGCCCTCAGAAAAATACGAAACTTTCAGGGGATGTCCCAGGGGCTATTTGGAGCCATCCTAGACGTCGGCGACCACTTTGTGGAAAGAATTGAGTTCGGCGACCACGCCATCAGAGAACATTTGATTTTTGGTCGGGCTGAAAACATACGCTCTGATGGATGGTTTCTGGGGGACGGAATTGTGCACGAAAAGTGGTCGCCGAACCTGGGATGGGTGGAGGGGACCTTCGGGCACATGTGTATGTATTTTTGGACATTTTTTATTACTAAAAATTGTTCACCGACCACGTTTCCAATGGGCTGTCATATCAGCACAGGGATAGCTACTAGACCACTTCTAATAACCCTGTTTCAGCTACTAAACCACCCTAGCTTCCCTCTTCTTGTGTGTTTCAGCTACTAAACCACCCTAACCCTAACCTAGAGCACCCTGACCAGCGACTCGACAGATGTGGGCAGCAGCAGCGACGAGGCTGACACAAACGACGAGCAAATGGAAGAGTGAAGGTGACGTGTGAGTCCATGACGCTTCGATGTGATGATTGCATTCTCATGATACTCACAGTCACATGCAACGATGGACGCGTGCGTTGTTCACCTCCGGAGATCCGGAGCCTGGGTGCCTCGTGCCAGTTGGTTATACGTAGAACTATTACCGTACAAAGATTCACATCGATGTCATTTTCACTAGTACTGTACCGTAGATCAAAACTGTGATCAATTGAGATCTCGTATGAAGCAGATATCAGACTGGTTTCGAATCGGCAATAGGTGCTGTATCAGCCATCTTCCTGCTCAATCTGAACCAAGAATTGACTGGAGCTTCGGCCTACAGCTGGCTGATAGTCCGAACTGAGAGTAACCAAACAGATAGGTTGTTACACCAACCTATCAACGACTGAAAATCATGAAAGAAACTGTACAAGACTGATAGGTTGAAGACGGCCGTTTTAGGTTGTTTTTTATCCTATCCCGTCATCCAACCCGCGACTGACATTCAACCTGGTATCAATCTACGGACTACTCGAATACATCGTCTCGTAGGTTGACCTCGTAGGTTGACAGACAACCTATTCTGCCGCCACAGAGGGTCGAAATCGGGCACTGTGAAAGACCCTAATAGTTGATCCCATCAGTTACCTTCTCTTTCCACCGCCATACTGGCGCTCTGACACCAAACACGATCCGACACTTCTGTCGAGTGATGCCGAAAGCCCGCAAACTCGCTCATGCGCGCGTTGGAAACGATTGGACTCGAGGCTCTGTGATCGAACATCCCACAGACCCCCGTTGAACTCATAGATCCCTGTAGGTCCTTGTTTACTTCCGAATATTCCGGGTCGTCAAGTCGACGCCATAGAAGTGGTGCAAGTGCTCTTGTTCTCGATACGGATACACGACGCAGTCCTCTGGCTACATACAGTTACAATTGCTCTTTCGCTGTCCGCCATCCACTCCTTCCCGCTACAAATGCCTGCCACAAAACGCTCGACTCGGGTGCACGCTATACGGTACAAACGACCGACACTCAGCTCGCTCACAAGGGCGCATCATCCGCGACGTGACGACCCTCACCGACATCCCCGGTGCTGCGTTCCCCTGCGCTGGCTGGTGGCGGTAAAGGACGACCGACTGCTCGCAGCACGACTCCCAGTCACCCGGAGTAATGTACACAGTTGGGTTTTGCACTGGGCTGAGGGTGTAATCCAGAAAAAAGAGAGCAGAGCTGCGCAGGGAGCGGATCAGGGCCTCGAGGACGAGGTCGGTGCTGATGGTCACCGCGCGGTGCACGTCCTTGAAAACCGTATGGAACACGCGGAAGGAGGCGACCGGGACGGCGGTGGCACCACGCTCTTCTAGAGAGCAGCAGCACTCAGTCAGCATGATACATGGGTGGTATGTGGCTAGGCCTTGACTTACCCCATTGGACGCTTAGCGTCCAGCCAGTACAGCGATCTTGCGTGTACTCGCCCCGCGCGATCTCGATCACGAAGGACATCCCTTGGGTGAAGATTCGGTCTCGGAAGATGGCTGTGGTTTCCGGAAAGGCGTGTGGTAGGCGGCTGGAGACGCCTCCAAAGGCGGGGTCTGTGAATACATTGCAATCGAACTCAGTGCGCCTGAGCTCGGTCATGTAGGTCACGAGGGTCTCATTCGCAACACTCGCGTCTGCGAACGACATGGTGCGAGGTTCTGGAAAGCGTTGGACGAGGACAGACATCTGGTGGAGGAGAGGAGGCTGGTGTTCCTTCATGGCCGCGAGGTGGGGGTATATAACTGGGAATTCCTGCGCTATGGCCCTCGAGATGAGGTGCCCGATTAGGAAAGACTAGACATCTAGAATACCTGTCCAAATCAGCCAAAGCGCAATGCAAAGACAAAGGAGAAGGGGGAGTTGGTTCAATGACAGGAAAATGCCCTTGAAACCACTGACGAGAAAAGCGTCACCACCAGACTTGGATTTTCTCCATCCATCTCGTGAGCTGAAGTACGTGTTCATCCCCTGCGCCTTGGCGCGGGACCCGACGGGAGATCAGCCCTACCTGCCCAAATAAGATGTGCATGACGTGACTGTCTCCGAGCAGTGAGAGCTGACACATTATGACAGCTGCTCATAGCCTCATACCTCGATGCGCAACAGTCGTCGGAGCGTCGGAGCAGCCACTTGACGCGTGATTGCATCAGTCTCCCAAGTCGTTCAGTATAACAAGGACGACGACGGTATGCCGGAAATGTGTGACGCACATCAGAATGAATGTAGCTAGACCGGAGAATAGGCGCTTAATATCTCGGACCAGGGAGATGCGAATGCTACTTGCTCGGCAGTGCCGTCAGCGTCGAATACCGACCAAGCGAACGAAGAGTAGTGGAAATCTGGAATTTAATGGGGTGGTCCATCAATCGAGCACGTGATATCACTCCATCACAGTTCTGGATCAGTCTACTTCCTGATCCGCATCGTGTCAGCGAAGAATTCGGTTTTTCTGATCACAAACTCTGGCGCATCCATCCTTCATGCCTGGAATTGCTGAGGCACATGTATGCCAGCTATATAATTCCAAAAATCTCCACGGTACCATTGCCTAAGGACCATATTCCAGGAGCTTCTCACGTTCTCTAAGAATCTAAACCCGCTCGCCCCGGTGGACTTAGAGGAATGACTTGCCTGGAACAGCTGATCTTATCTCCCCACGCTCAGACCAGTTTAAAATGAAAGTCTGGACTGAAGGAGTCATCTTCGACAGTGTCTATGCAGGCTTCACACTCTCTTTGTGTCAAGTGCCACGACGTTGGAATTGTATGAAACTGGACTAATCCTGTTTTCCGTACGCTGATCCACCGCCACTCTCGACATCAATGGACCCCCCACTGCAAATACCCGGTTTTCCAAGCTTCTCAAACCTACTCAATAGTCATCGCTTTGCTTTGTTCAGTATGATAATTGCAACGGCACATTGTTTCTATCTTCGCGCTTGGGCTGATTTTGACAGGTTAGTACGTGAGCGGATAGCGCATTTCCCAATTTGGCGGGCAGTCTCGAGGGCCATAGCGCACCATTATCTGTTTTATATCCTGCGCTCGCAGCGATGCAGACCAGTTCTCAACGAACCTCACATCCTCCAGCTATCCATTCGTTCCATCCCAGATGACCCTCCTCGTCAACCGTTTCCCACTCCCGAACGGCACGTTCGTAGACTCCATCAGCACCTTCGAGCAGCTGTTAGTCCGGTACATGAGTGCATTACGCCGCAGAGAACAGGATGCCCGGTCGGGCATGACTTCAAGCCAACTTCCATCCGACTTTCCGGTCACGCAGAGCAAATTTCTTGCACGTATCGACAATTCGCCCGGCTTTTCGTTCTTCGCCAGCATCAAATACCACGTGTACAACCGCGAGCAGTGTTCTGGGTGGACACTCTACGTCCAATGGGGTCAGTGAAATATTCATCAGCGAACTGAATGCACTCAATGACTGTCACGTCCTCCAGAAGAGCGAAACGCCGAGCGGCCAACCGCCGTCGCGTCATTCCGCGTTCCCAACACCATCGTCGGGGATATCTACCGCTCCGTGCAGATCACCACCGACCTCGTGCTCGAGGCGCTCATTTCCTCGCTGTACAATGCGGCCCCCGTCGCGCTTGTCGTGACCATCGGTCCAGTATACCACGAACCAGGGAACTCGGGCTGGCTGGCGCGCTATGTTGAGTCGGTAGTGCTCCAGGTCGACGCCAACAGCGATCCCAATGGCGCGCAGGCCGTCCGGACTGTGGAACAGCGAGTGATGTGCCCGTGTCTCGGAGCCATGCAAGGATGTCGGGCATGGGTCCCCACGAGCGCGCGGCCTGCTCTGTGCAAAGACCACCTGGGAATGCGATTCGTGTAAATGTGGGGATGAAACAACTCGCACCCTTGTACTTGTATCCACTGGATGTACAACATATTCAATTTGATAACAAGAGCACTTTAATCATGCGTGCACCAGCGGCGGATGATCCCCGAGAAAACAAGGACTTTGATTGATCTACATCACCGCTCTGTGGTGCAAACACGTACCTCATAAGTACGGATCGGATTCTGAATCAAACGATGTTCCATCCATCATTATGTAATTTGAAAGTATGATTTCGGTCGTTGCCCTAAAATGAGAGGGACACTCACAACTTGGATGCATCATTTCCTGACATATGCACGTGACATTCTTACTACCGGTTGATGCTGTGGCCGAGGGCCGAAGGCACATGACACTGCTGACGAACGTGTTTTTAGTTTGGGCCGCTCTCCAGAGCCCACATGGATTTCTTCCAGCATCATGACACTATTCGTATATCTTTCAGCATTTTTTTTTTGGCTGAGTTTGCCTAAAATTTCTAAACTGTTTCTTATGAATTTTTATTTATTTATTTCACTTAATGGGCTTGTGGCCCCACTCTAGAGCGAAGGACCCATGCGGCTATCCTAAACTTGGAAGCGGCTGGGGGAGTTTTTTCTTTTTGGATCAAGAAGAGACCAGGATCCACCAAGAAGACAAGGAACGAAGAAGGAGGTCACGACCGCTCCGGAGATCATAAAAAAAACGGATCTGTTTCGCACAGTGCAGATCAGACTTCAACATCGAGATGGAGGAAGAAGAGGTTACTGCGGGGATCCAGTGCAGTTTATCGCTATCACGATGACCATTCTGTATTCCAGAAGCTTTGCAATCAAAAACATCTTCAAGTCACATACGCTATAAATGTGAAACGCATAGTACGAATGCGAGTTTCTCAGTGTTAATCGACATTCCATAGGCAAATGAGAGACCAGCTATGGATTGTTCGCTCGTCAGGAATGCATGGAAAATGAAGACCTGACCGACATGAACGTGGCATACAAAGCCACAACGAGCGCGAAGACGCATTGCGCAACCTGGGACGAGGATGCTCAGTTCCGGAATCGTAAGACAAGTCGTTCAGCCAACAACATCTAATGAAAGAGGGCATGTACAGAGATATGTGCTCAGAGTTCCCAGAGTGCACCGACGGAAAACAGATATGTGACACTACCCCATAACTTGAGAGGATTCATTGGACTCATCTAAATCTTCCAGTATCGATCATAGTCAATGGTCGCAGACTAGGTTCAAGGCAAGGCGGCCGCCAGTGTGCAGCGAAGATGAGAGGCTCGTTATGACTGGATTCTTGAATTAGATCAATGTTTCGACTCGGACCCGCCGGAAGATAGGCGAGCACTTATCAATTGCTCAAGAATCGTGTGAAACTCCCGCCCGAAAGCCCCACCCAATCTGATAGTACGCATATACGACCTGCTGCTGGCCACCGTCCCCAACAGCGCACACCACGCGTTCTTTCCTCCGCACCACCAGCTGCTCTCCATCCCCAGTCCGGCTAGTCCTCATGCCGAAAGTGAGCTCGACGTCCTCACATTCGACCGCATGCGTCGGCCGCAGCGGCATGACCAGGTGGAACAGCGCGTCTGGGGACCGCCGCAGCATGGCGCGGACGGCGGCGTAGATCCAGGCGGCATGGGGTGGTTCGTAAGCGATGTCAGCGCCAAGGATCACATCGAAGCCGGGGGAGAGGTGCGTGGTGAGAGGACATAAGGAAGGGGCGGATTGAGGTGAGGATGGCGCTGTAGGGGATGTGAAGGCCGCCCAGTCCAACGGATGAACACATATCGAGGTCGAGGTAGCGCATCCCAATTCAAAGGTGGAAGGAGAAAAGTTCTGGGTGACGTTCCACGCGAGGTTTTCTAGCACGGCAGGGTACAAGTCTGTGCACACCACGCGTGTTTTCGGCCTTCCTGCACTCTCGGCCTCAGCAAGCTTGGTATAAGCGATCCCAACGAGCCCTGTTCCCGATCCGAGTTCCAGGACACGTAGCGGCTCCGCATCATTGCCTGATTCACTCCTCCCTCCCAGCCTGAAGATCGCCGGATCGCGCGACATGAGATCTGCGAGAACACACGCCCCGCCCCACGTCTGTACCCCAGCGCTTTCGAGTCCATCCGACAGGGGCATGTCCCTGACCGTCACTGTCAGTGCCATCCTTTTCCAGCCGCCGGCGCTCGCATGACGGTACAACGGCAGGACACGCGTCATGGGCCCGCTGCCACCTGGCCCAGCGAGATTCGCGAGGAGGGAGGCCGCGGCGGGCGTGTCGGGGAAACGGGTGGTGAGGTAGGAAAGCCAGCGCAGGGCATGCGTACGCTCGAATGCGTCGGTGCGTAGCGCAGTGTACGGGTCATCCTCATCCTCAACCTCATCACGGTCGTCGTTTCCGCTGACATTTTTTCTCCCGTTGTCCTCAGCCCTCTGGATTTCCACCCCGGTACGTCCATCGGAAACCTCGAGGGTCCGCCGCAGGATCTTAGAGCCTCGGACAGACGGCATATAGAGGGTGCGCAGGTACTCGACATATTCGTGCAGAACCTCTGGCGGAAGCGAGCCGAGCGAGCGCGGCGGGGGTAGTTTCAGGCTCGGTGGGTCGATGGTTGCTGAGGATATGAGCATGACAGTCGATAAGTGAAGAGCATCTGATCTGATCTGTCTGTCTTCATACTTTTCGCCCGTCGTTGCAGGTACAAATGGGCATGACACCAATGCCCATGAGTGACTAAGATAAGTAATGGACAACAGATTAGTCCATGGCAAGTACGGCGCATGAGATTAGAGAATCGCGTCTAGGGCAATGATGATAGGTAAGATGTGTACGCTACATAACACAACGTCAGAAAAACGCAATGGGAGCCTTACTTCAACAGGTCAGCTTTCGGTATACGCGGGCGGGGCGGCCGCATATACCTCCTCCTCCATCGTACGACTCTTCTCACTCATCGGCAGCGCACGCACTTCGAGACCGAGACCACCCACCCCCCCAGTCGAACGGGAAGAAGACGCCGTGGCTATGGATGTCGCTCTCGTCACCCTGCTTCCGCTGGCGCAATGGACGTCTAAAGTATCCGAAGGTCCCAGCGATCCCCTGGGCCCGGCCCGAGACTCGGATGTCTGCGGTGTCGATAGATCATAGCTGTTGTCGCGCGCCAGGTCATTGAAGACGAACGGCGTGGGCTTGGGGTAAAGCATAGAGTTGCGGTCGTCAAACCGGCCCCAATGGTCCAATACATTGTTTGTGCGGGCGTAGTCACCGCGAGGATTGCGCCGTCGCAAAACGAAAAAGTAGAAGGCAAAGGCGCCTGCGATGATTGCTGCTGCGCCCAATCCGACACCGAGCGCGATCGACAGGGAGTCTTTCGGCGGTGGTTTCGGGGCGACGCCTGTTGAGTTGGTAGGGGATGACAACGAAGGGGAGGACGATGACGAAGACGCAGAGCCCGTTCCGTTTTCTATCGTGTAGCTGTAACCTACCCATTAGTCGGGTGTATGAGAGGTATTAGAGACGGGGGAAGGCACTAAAAGCCATCGCAAATGATAAAACGGTTATCCCCTATCGTCAGCTGTACGATGCTATTCTTGGCCCGGTCGCAGACCACCGCACATCCCACAGCGAAGACTCGGATCCACCGACACTCGTGGTCGACGCGAATGGATCAGTGAGATTGACAACCACACTACGCTCCCCGTCGAACGTAATCACAGTGTCCACGGCGTACGGCCAGAGCGGTGCCAGGTAGTACACTGCAACGCCTGCAGTGAGGTCTTCAGGGAGTTAGCTCGACAGGCAGATGGCCTCAACGCACCTGTGAACTTGAATGTGGCGCTAGCTCTCACATCGCTAGTGCCTGTATGCGTCCCGCCAAAATCCAGACTGGCCCTATGGGACGAGGAGCGCTCCCATATCCCGGCATACGTGATGAGGGGCGACGTGTCGTCCACTGATACGTTCCACAGGGCATTCACTGCGGGCAGCAATGAAAGGACCGGCAGTAGCAGTGACAGCATGAATGAGGGTATAAGAAAAGGAGGTGAGACGAGACGAGGCGAGCGCGACAGTGGGCGCCGCCATGACGCTTCACTATCAATTGGTGCGTCAAACAAACGAGCGCGCTGTTTGTTGATGCGGAGACTTATTATACCGGCTTGTCAACCAGGCTTGTGCCCCATGTCGGAGTTTAAAATTAGCGGGCCGGGCTTGGCTTGTGTGATGGGGGCGTGGGCGTAGCTTGTGCACAGATCTGATCAATGATATCGTCGCTGCTCATCGCGTCAGCCCCGCGCTCACGTCGGACGTGCTATTTAATGGTCGTAGTACATCGTCCTTCATTCTAAATGTATATATTAGCTGCATTATGCTTCGGACGCCTCAATTGTCACCACCATCAAGCACGAGTAGCCCGTGCTCAGTGATAGCTCACCGCCTCTTCGTTGTGCCTTGCCACCCCTTTGCCCGGGACCGTCCCCGCGCTTTCTTTGCGCTTTACTCGCGCTCACCATCAGAGATCGCTTTCTCCAGCCTCCGCTTGTGCCGCTGTCTCCTCTTGGCCGGGATCAGTGCGTACGTCGGCGCCTCGCCTCGAATGCGAGATCAGCGGTAGCTCACCACCTCTTTGCTGTGCTTTGCCGCCCCCTTGCCCGGGACTGTCCCCGCACTTTCTTTGCGCTTTGCTCACGCTCACCGTCGGAGATTGCTTTCCAGGTTCCGCTTGTTCCGCTGTCTCCTCATGATTGGGATCAGTGCTTACATTGGTGCCTCGCCTCCAGTGCGGTGGTAGACCGGGATATGGATGTGGGGTCGTATCCGCAGTGCTCCGTGAAGAAGCGTCAGAGGCTCGAACGTTCTGAGACGCGTCCGAAAATGCCACTCACATTTTGTACAACCCGTGGAGTTCCGGGGTTTGTCGAGACTCGAAACCAATCAATAGCTAACACCCAAAACAGAGCCTGAGGAGTTCCGAGGCGCGTTCGAAAATTCGACCGACCTCTTTCACCGCCCGTGGATTTCCGAGGCGCGTCAAAATCGAACCAGGATCGGAAAAATATGGACCTGAGTAATGAGAATGTAAGAATGAGAACTTGTATTATTCTGTAAGCTACCTCTTGTATATATACTAAATATCTGTATTTATCTAGAAGGTCGTGGAACAAGCAGGAGGGCGGTAGTGAGATAAGTAATGACAAGTAATTGCCAATTACTTATCATTACTAGTAAGATATGCGATCGCCAACACTGAGCATGCCTTCTAAACATACCACCTGTGCCACTCACATATTCCAAAGTTTTTAAGCATTCATGAGCGCAGAGCGTTGCGGGAATGATGATGGTGCTGTACAATCATAAGACTTTCACTCATAGGCACTGACTTCGAAACTACTTCGAATCGCAAGCACCTTGTTGCATATCACAGGCACCGACCAGCTCAATACACTTCTGCAAAAAAGCCCGACAGTCCGTGATGCGTTTGAGCCTCTCTGTGATGCGCAGGTCGAGAAAAGAGTACTTGGCGGCGTATCTCTATGTAAAATATGATTAGACCATCTTTAGCGCTGTCGATCAGCATGTACATGAGCCCTATCTATCGTAGAGTACAACGTATAGCTCATAAATACCGCAGATAGCCTCTGATTACGCTTTAAACTATGGGAGACAAGCCGATTTGTCGGGCATGACAAGCCGACAAATTGGCTTGCAAGCCTGATGGCATCAGCTGCCAGCCAAATCCACGCCCATCAGTAAAAAAGCCGTTTTGCGCAGGCGCAAGCCGTTTCGTCATGCCCGAAACGTCGGTCTCGTTGATGCGTCACAATCTAAACGTGGATGAATGTCTTCGGGTACCCCGGGTTGCTCATCGATCGGGCGCTGCAGTCATAAGGTAGGTCTCTCGTGTTATACAGATTCTTAGAACTCACTGAAGGGCTCCATCATAAAGCGTAGTGAAGAACATTAGACTGAACTCGCACGATCGGAGACTCGATGTCTTCCCCATCACTTCTGGATATGTCTGCAGACCGTTCCATGAGGAGACACACATGTTGAACAGCTGATTGGAAAGGGCCCGCGACAAGCTCGCCCGTGGGATCTTCACAGCTCCCCAGGCGGCCGAATCGATCCCACTCCTGGGAGTCTATGGGAGCGCAACAGATGTGACTGAATGTCTCCTCGTCTGGTGAGCAAATCCTATCTTAGCTCGGAGGTTGCGGATATTTTCATGCGCTCCACAGATCATGGTGCGGCGGGAGAAGCGGACGGAAATAATCAATTCCAATTCACTGGATTCAACGATACATTCATCCAGAAATATCCCTAGCGCTACTGAATGCCTTGCAGGGATCATGGCGAACAAATCTCGAGAGGAGCAGCTCAGTAGAACCAGTACTTGGCAACGTACTTGACGGAGATGGACGATCCGGCCTTGCACTGGCACACGAGATGAGTCTTTACCATGCCAAGAAATTTCAGCAACTTACCGAGGTGGGCGGCTGACCCCCGACGGTGTCGATGCGGAACACGTTGGTGGCCAGGGTACCCTTCAACTGAGCGAGCTCGAGCCAATCCACGTTCACCGAGGGGTTCTTAGGTGCGACCAGGTCAGCGATTTTGCTTGCGATGACGAACGAGGAGGTGCCCGGCCCAAGGCTGGAGGAAAAGTCCCATTCCGCAGAAATCCCGGTGCCCGACGGCGAGGTCACAAAGAAGTGGTTCTGCGGGTGATAGATGAGCGGAGACGCGGAGGTTCAGTGCAAAAAATGGCGTACACCGAGCTTGCGCGAAGCACCAAAGAGTGGGCCAATGCCGTCAACCAGTCCGAGCCCTTTTTCCTCGCTCCAGACGTCGAATGCATACTCCTGGAGGTTGTCGAAACCGACCGTACCCTCGAGACAAGAGATGTCGAAGATCGACGCGATGGCTCCGATGGAGCTAAGTGAGCGATCAAGGTCAGCGGACGGCTATGATTAGAGCGGCCGTCCTCACGTGTAGGTCAGCGTGGTGCTCGAGCAAGTATAGTTTTGGATGCCGACACCGAGCGTGACGAACTTGACGGGCAGGTTCGGTGCGACGAGCGTCGTCTGTCCCGCAGGAAGGTCCGGCGACGCCCTGGTCGGGTTGCACTGGGACGGCGCACCCGCGACGAGAGCCGCGAAAAAGACCAAGGGAAGGATCAGTTTGGCGAACATGTCAGTAGCTCTTTTGCTTCTGTGCTGGAGGGATGTACACCTGGGAGGATGTTGGTCGTATTTCTGGAAAGCAGCGGGCCTTTATACTCTATGTGCGGGCCCGCATCATGACCGTAACAAAATAAAATACTGACCAACCACGAGGATCACTGAGCCCCTGGGAGTCTCACTAATACGGCAACAGCTGTCGCGCTGGGCCTGGACGGATGTTACCCACGCATCTCAAGTCCTTCTTCTGTCGTGCAAGAACGTGCTTAGGGTGATGAGGCATGATGGCCCACCTTGGCCGCCTCCGCGAAGGGCCTCTATCCCCGCAAAAACCGACCCTTTGCTCCTAGACGTTCGTTCACGAGTCGATCGTGCCCGAGGCTGACAAAACACACATGCTTGCCCCTACTTCACTCATCACTACGCGTCTGCACTTGGCACTTCCAATGACTCCTGCGCTAGAGCGCAGGGATTCTCGACTGGTCTCGATCGGACAAACCACATTGGCCCAGCAAATGATGGACGGCCGGCGGTGTTGTTGGAACAGCGAAATGATTTGAAGTTGATGCAAGAGTCACTTTCGCGGCTACTTGGTGTCTGTGATCGCCCGAGGTGAACTCACAAGCAGGTGAAATCGTTAGGGCGACCACGTGACTCATTGCAGTTATTTCTGTGAAAAGGTGGCATGGGGCAGGGCAAGGTAGGATCCTCCACCAAAAGAAATGAAGTCATCTCTAGACTCATCGAGAGCAGTCGAAATTTGCCGAAAATCGACCGTATCGTCAGAAATTGCGCAGCATCCTTCGCGGATAAGGTTGGTCCCTTCTAGTGATTGATGTTAAAAGATTGCCCGCGGGTTCTCGGCATCTCGATTGATGTTTTTTTTCTTCCTTCTGGTCGGACAGAATCACTGAATGATGCACCAGTCGTCTCACATATGATGTGCTGAGCCGTGGCTGATCTTTCAAGTCCGAGGCTTCACCTACGGAGAAAGTGCCCAGCGCGTGAAATTTCTTATGAAGGCAGCTTTCCCATGTGCCAAGTGCAACCGAGGGAAGGGAAGCAGAAGGGAGCTCATCAGCCGTGCCGTACGCCAAGGCAAAGTAGTAATTATGTCAAGGTCAGCGACATGCCGACATGCTTACAAGTTCGCCCTGACTGAAATCTCGTGATCTGAAGCACAGTTGTGACAGCTAGCCCTTCTCGTCGTGCCTCGTGGTGCGCTGGGAGCTAGACGAAGTCCGCTATCATGGGGGCGGGTCAGGATATACCGTATCCGGACACAATGATCAGACCACGAGGCAGTGGCACACAACGTATTCGCCCGGTATCCGCTGCGACAAAGCAAATCTCCTCGTCGCTTTGTTGACGTCGTCCATGGGTGAGCGCATGCTCCGGGCAGGGGGTATATAACGATGCCAGGTGCGTATCTTTGTTCCCAGAGGCCGCTGTGGGCCTCACTCCTACCCCTTGCCTCCTCTATAGTGCAAAGACCGACCGCCTATGGCTTCCAGCTTTTCTGTCTCATCATCCCTCGGCTGCATCCGCTCCGCTTCAGTCGCGTTCCTCACCGATCTCCAATCTTCGAAATCGCTACATCAGCTCCTCTGCGCTCCATCCGGTCTCCTTGATTGCGACGACATGTCGTTCGACGTGTTCCCCATCAGCCAACACCTGCACGATGCGTCGAACAAGCAGGCATTCCTCCTTGAGCTACACTTTCATCGCAATGTGACGCATGGTGGACCGGGCTCTACCGTCTTCACAGCGTCAAGTTCCCAGTGGGGTATGTCACGCTCGCTTTCCTTACGGGGGGCGGACGACTAAATCGCGAAGCAGGAGATCACAAACTCCTCGGATCTTTCGCGATTCACGACTCTGTGTACACCCATCCCAATCGAGTCGCGGGTGTCACCGCCGCTTTCGTTCTCACGACCATGTCGCAAGTCATCCGACTTGGCTGGGTCGATGCGCGCGTCGGGATGCATGAGCTCGTGCGGTTTCATTACCCTCAGCCGCAGTTCCCGATCGACACCCATATAACATCCATCAAAGTCGAGCAGATCCCGCTCCCTCCTCTTCCTCTCGATCTGTTCAATTTGGATTCCTGAATGATCGAGTATTCACGAGTGCCCACTGCGGGCAGCGGGCACATGCATTCTGCTTTTGGGACCTTCTCCTTATCTCGTTCGAATACCCGCCGAGCGCACGGCCAACATCTTATTGCTTACTGTATTGCTTTGTCTATTGTATCAAAGCTGGAATAACTGGAGATGGAAATCTGATCTTATCCATCTGTATGCGCCCGCATGCGCCACAGAGTCAAGGGAGCTGCCGGCTTCGATCCGGCAAAATGAGCAGCCGGCCCGCCGGCATAGCGTGGCAGATGCCAGCGAAGCTCCGATCCTGATGCGGACGGAATCGGTCGCTGAATTGCTCAACGTTCGACCCGGATACGGACGATATTGGGCTCATCAGTGGCTGATCTCTGATCTCGTATGCGGAATATGCTCATATGTTATGGTCCGACGCTGGATGCAGACGCAAAGGCTGAGGCATGGACACCTTCCACACACACGTCTCTCCCTCTCGATAATGATGGCTGAGAATTATTCAATTGAAATGCTGTTTGGAAGCTCAATGTGCCCCAAGCTATGCATCACTACACTGAGAGCAAAATAAGATTCATACTACTATCTTGAAAAAATGGCCTAAATTACATTTTTAGAGTGTGTATGCTTGCATGTATCAGGCCCGTGATTGGCGGTCCGATGACCTACGCGGAGGGATGCTCAGGCTGCAAAGGTCCGGTCTGACTCGCGGACAAAACAAGGTAGAATTTTCCTCAGGCGATCCTTATGCCGCCCAATTCCGAGTAAATATGTGAGGACGGATCTGATCAACACAGTGATTTTCGGATCGGACATCCGAAGGCATATGCCACTTGCCTAGCGACGCCTCGAAGAGCCTAGGTGGATGTAATCAGCCGAAAGATAGGAGAGTAGATCTTGAGACGTGACGTAGAAGCACGAGCAGCATGCAGCTTTGAACTCTGACGCACTAAAACTTCCTCCTTAGTCTCTCACGAAATGAGAACACCCACTGAAATGTGTCAAAATAAGCAATCTCAGTGGGCAGGAATTCCTTCGATGCTGAACCTATGCCAATGCTTGGGATTCGGACTCAAGAAATCGAGGGCCCAGCCGCAGTATGCTGCAGTCAGTTGGCCGGAGAAGCGGACTGTGTTTCGCCGTTTCATCTGTGTGTCACGAGTGTCCGATGAGCGGTGCTCGCACTTACCACAGGTCTCATTTTTTGAAGTTTCCATGCTTTATTCAAAGCACGTGGGTGCTGCGACTGACTTCGTTATAACCATACCGATTCCCGAATGAGAAATAAAAGGTAAGTGGGTGAGAAAAATCTGACGGAGGAGTGGAGCAGACGGCGAAGAGAAATCCGCCGAGCGTCGCAAACAAGTTGCGAAAGGTACGAGGCTCATTTACAGACTTTATCGAAGCTAATTCGGGATCTTGTCTCTGACTCACGCGTGACGAACCAGGTCGCCTAGACTATGCCGAACCTTTGATGATCCCAATTGGCACCTGCGTTGATGTCGAACAGCCCATTCGATATCGACTTTCGGAAAGCTAGCATCCCGCTCGGCAAGATCACAAGTTGGGAGGCCATCTGGATGCAGCTGAATTCATAATTAGTATAGATCATTGGCCCTGGAACATTTAATAGCCCAGCAATGCCATCAGCAAAACCGGGACAACCATGTGTGGGCCGGCGGTACCCACAAGGCGGTGCCTGTAATATACAGGCTGACAAATCCTGACGTGGGTGACGTGGCATCTGCCTGCCCGTCATCTGGCATATTCGTGCTCTGCAACTCCTCGACGGCCATGCCCGCGCTCGACTGGGCCTTTCACGTTCGGCAGCATCAACAACTACCTGGCTTCTTCTCCGTCGACTGCGCACCGGGCTGCTGTTCTCTCTGTCGAAATGTCACCAAGGCGGCTGTTTTTCGTTGCATGCTTTCTGTTGCGGCCACCTTTGGAATGGTATCACTCAAGACTGTAGTATCACCAGCGGGTAGGCGTGTACTTTGCGGCGATCGGCCTCACATGTACGTCATTACAGCTCACTGTATCCCAGCCGTGCTGCTTCCTCATCCAGTGGCAAGTGCCCATCCTCGCCGTCCTCTGGGCCCAACTCATCTTCATCAGGCTCATCATCTCCGTCTTCAGAACCATACAACTCGGCGTCTTCACCCTCACTTTCCACATCGCTCTTGTCGCCTGGAGGGTCCTCCTCGCTGTCTGAGTCACGGTCAGGGCTGACATCATCCTCTGAGTCGTGGTCTTGCTGAGCTAAGTCTGTCACGGTGCGGCTGGTATCTGCAGCATCGGTATCTTCTTCGTCCTCGAGCTCCATGTCATCAACATTGTTTCTCACACTGTTGTCAGCCTCGGCGTCTGGGACTGCCACATGGTAATGACCGACACCTCCACCAAGGTAGCGCATCATCATGTCGCGATCACAGAAGCTGTCTCAGCGGCAGGATGGTCAGTACACGCATGCACTGTATCAGACCAACAGACTGACAAGTTGACATAGTGATATCGCCAGTCATTGAACTCGTCAGGTCGGCGTGCCAGGGTTGTATATGGTACTCTATCTGTTGGCCCATGTGCAAACGCCGGGATGAGATGGGATGCCCGGATGATCTCATCAGGATCTACAAACCCGTATGTGCGAGGATCTGAATCTGGCATGAACTGAACACGATGCAGCCGTTTCCGCTTGAATCCCCCACGGAAGGTTAGGTCAATCTCGAATCGACGAACCCAAACAAATGCGACAGGCACCGCAGGAGCAAGATAGCCATCAAGTCGCCGACGAACTTCGCAGTGGAAGATCCCAATGATACGTGCATATTCGAAGGGGTGAGCGTTTCGGTTTCCGTCCACTGCCTCTGGCTGGGATGATAACATCATGATGTCAGCATTCCCTCGTGGATTCATCGAATCTTGACCTCGTCGGACATCGCTAGTGGTGTAGTTGACTCGCAGTACTTTGTGAATGTAGAGTCGCTCATCAGCAATTATGATGTTGTTCCGTTGTTCTGTCGTGAACTCATCACCGTTGCCAGAGTACATGGGATGCTCCAGCCGAGCAAGCAGATGTTCATGAAGCTTGGGTCTGAAATCCTGTCACCGTAACGGTAACATCTTCAAGTTAAGCAACAGTTTGTGGCTGGTGACAGTTCACTTACCTTGACAGCAGGGTCGGCACTGTGTTGATATAACCACGAGCCAAGATTAAGATGGTAGTCCCGCCGAAGAGAGATATGATGGTGAGCTTCTGGAGCGGTGTACGGAAGTGATTCAGACTCGGCAAAGGCTAGTGTGGGGAGCCGTTGTGGTGGACTAGGTGTTTTGAAAGCTGTTCCAGTGGCTGCTTTCCGTTTCTTTGAGGACACTACTGGCTGCTGCATTGTCTCTGAGTCCTGGTGTGGCCCTGCTGTCACAGGAGGTATGACTGGGAGAAGTGAAGCTTGTTGATGTTGCATTATCTTGTCCAGCTCTGTCTCCCGCCTTTCCAGCTGGGTGATCTGCTTCTCAGCTTCATTCTTATTAGTCCGAGCATAGTAGCTCTTCACACGCTTGTGCTCAAGCTCGCCCTTGCCCACAATTCAGTCAAAGAGTGGTTCTAGCTGAATAGATTGACATACCGTCTGAGTAGAATAGGAATCAACTGTGCCAAAAAATGAGATTGTGCGAACATAGTCACCCAGTGCATGAGCCTTGTAAGTCTGAAAGTTGAACTCCTTCTGTTTTTTGCTGGTGGCCTTGGGGTTTGGTGTGGTGTTGCCTGCTTTTCTGGCAGCTTCAGCCTTCCGTGCATTTCGTCGGCCTCGAGCTGCCTCTTCCTTGGGCAGTTCAAATGTGACAAAGTGCTGACAAACAGTGTTCTTGAATTTGCGAAGCAGTGTGCCAAGTTCACGAGTGGTCTGCTTCAAAAGGGCCAGAGTGGAATCAGTGTGTAATCGGAGTTTAGCCAACCCATGCCACAGCGCAAGTGTGAAGAGAAGGTCTTGCACAATATCATCCATCACATCTTCACCTAGCAGGCCCTCAAATGCAGGCATGGCACACTGCAGATGAACTATTAGAGATTGTGATAGTATGTCCAGTATAGTACGCACCTGAAGTAGATCCTCAAAGTTGCGAGCAGCCAGCTTCTTCATTGCTGACACATTTTCATGAAAATGTCGTATTGTTCCTCGGCCAAAGGCTGGTACTTGACGATATCTACCTCAAAATCAGCCAACAGTTGTGTGTATGAGGGATGGAATACAACAAACCGATCATTCAAAGAGTGGACAGCATCACCACCAACTGCAACAAGAATGCGTATGAGATGGGTAAACACTGCTTTCCAAACACCAAGTTCGAATTCGTGCATGAAATCAACCACAAGCATTGTGAAAATTCCAAAGCTGTATGAAGCTGCCTTTGTGAATGCATTCTGCATTGCCATGTCAGTAACAATGTAAGAAAACAAGAGTGACACTTACAATTGTTGGACACCAAGACTGGCCAGAAAGCAGCCCTTCAACTCGTTTGCTCTTGACTTTCAGGGCCTGGCGATAGATCCAAGTCCGCGCCCTAGAGATCCATGTCTGGCGGACCTCAGAGTCAATGCGTTCAGACTGTGTCCGTGCCTTCTCATCATGGACAGTGCCAAGTTGATCAAGCTTGCTTTTAGATATCAAGCATCGAGGACATGGGCAAGAGCCAAGATTGCGGATTGTTGCAAGGAGCACCCTGGAATGGTTATCAGAAACAATGCAATAGTAATAATCTGAGACTCACTTCTCAGGATAATCTGCTGAATAGGTGAATAGGCGAGGGTAGAACCGGCGCTCAATTCCATCAGCACATGTGATCACAATACCATGCTCGCAGGCTGCAAGGAAATCATCATCAAGGATGTGCTTCCAAACTGCATGCATGAGTTCTCGACGACAGTGGGTGAGAAGATCGGCCGAAGGAGCATTCCCTGTGAGGTCATAGAACCAATCAGCAAAATCTGGTGGTAGCTAACAAGTCAAATTAGCTAAGCAAGTATTCTGACTATGCTAGAATGCTTACCTTGGGTATGTACGCAATGTGATGGCTACATCCCGCCCGCGGCTTGCCCCGAATCCATTTTGACTGATTCCCAAAGAAGAGGTACACTGGCCATAGCGCAGCAGTGCCAAAGTTTGCCAGATGTGTCGAATCCGACCAGAGCATGATTGAAAGGACGACCCGCTCAAGATCACAGCCAGGCTCGCCCACTTGTTGTTGAAGCTTCTCGTGCACTTCAATATACGCATCAGATGTGTAAATCTCATCATATAGCCGCTCAGCCGGGGAGTCTGGATCACGCTGCCAGAATTTCTTGAAAGGAGTGTAGTGGAAAAGTCGGGATGATTTGTCCTGGATCACAGCCCTCAGCGTATGTGTGAGATTCCGGAAGTGGAGGCCAGGGACACTGAAAGACGCTAACGGAGCATCCGGACCACGTTTCCGACCATCCGGGACATCAATCTTGACAGCTGCCTCGCACCACCCATCTTTTGCTCCGCTACTCGCTTGCTGCACCTGGCTCACTCTCTCGACTCTCGAGCTGACCCCACCAAGCCCAATCTGCTCGTCGAATCGAGCTGTCTCGCGCTTCAAATCCAGGTCCATCAGGTCCTCTTTCTTGAACTCATCGGATTTGAGAAATCGTAGCAAGCGGGTGCATTCCGCAATCGACTTCATAGCCGACCCGGTCCACATCCAATGCATGAACCCAAGGACTGTCGAGTTTCGAAAAGGGCCCAAAGATGCTGCTTGAGTCGATATGAGGTCGGGTGGGACAGACAAGGGAGACATCCGACTCGATGAATGAGTCACGACTGTCTCGGCTGGGGGTGGAATGTCTGACTGGTCTGCCAGTGAGATATTGCGATCCGGATTGTGAGTTGGTCGCGCGGGATATTCCCGAAACACTCCAAAATCGTCCCTGCGAAACGACGTCGTTTGATGGAAGACACTGCCTCTCAGTCTTCTGAGTCATAGTTCACATTATAACCTTTATTCCATATGTATCAGACCATGCATATCTACAGTAATGACCATACAGCATGTAATGTGGCAGCTGAGGTGTGACCTCCCACAAACGATGACAGATTCTGCGAGCATGTAGGGATGTGTCGACAGACCAAGAACTGTGATCTTGCGATTTGCAGTTCCAGAACTACCGATTTATAATGCACCGCGTACGTAAATATCTACATTGCAGATGTGAAGACTACAGGCAAGTCCCGTCCTTTCACAATTCAATCTGGCATGTAGGTTCTTGCATGCGTGATCAGAGTTCACCGGGCAGATCAGAGTTCACCAGGCAGATCAGAGTTCACCGGGCAGGCCCGAAGAATGTACACTAGGAGGTTTGAGATATTCCCAGGTGCAGATCTAAATGCCCGATGTGCCACTATCTGGCATTTCGAAGAATCTGATGGACTGCAAAGGTCGCTGACGGACTGCAGTGGGTTTCCGGTTTTGCTGATGGCCTCTTTCCGTGACAGAATCCTTGGCTTGACATCTATACCGTGAGAGAGCAGTATCTCTGCCGATGTTTTGTCTCGGATTTACCGGGAGGATCTGCTGCCGGGCTGATGCCACTGAGAGATAGTAGACGATCTCGTCGAACAGTCCAGTCCGTGTTGTCTTTGCCACTCTGGCGTATGACGCAGGCCAAAGCCTGGGGAGGACTCAATTGTGTTCATATCTCATGGGAGCGACGACGTGACCACTCCCAGTCTGTCAGGGCAGTACAAGGTCTAGAAGGATTGAAGAATTTCAAACTTCAAGGGCTAGTCCTTCAAGAAATCAGCGGAGGTCCTCAGTGAGCTCGCGCGCACACCCTGGAACAGCTGTGATGGCCGTCTATCTTGTTGGTGGGGCACGTAAGTTGTGACAATCAAACCAATTCTCCATCCTCATTACCCCATGAGGGATGTGACGGGTGACCGACAATTGAATTGGATAACTACAGTATGATAGTCTCATGATCAGTCGGGTATCTACACTCTGCCGCATTCTAGCGCTTCTGCCCCTGCGTTTATCCTACATCCATGGCGCCAGTTATCATACACGCTCGATCTCGATCATTTTCGCTCCCAAAAAAAAGTCCCAATGCTGGCGCGAATCTGCTTCCCAAGTCACAGAAAGTTGGTGGAAAAAGACGGAGAATACTTGCCAACGGGCGACGCATAGATATGTTCTGGGAAGGAGTTGAATCTCGATATTCTCATTCTCGAGTCCAACGACGATCCATGACCCAATCCACTTCTAGTCTGTCGCCGCTTATTCCCGCATCTCCAATGTCTCGAACTCCACTAACTTCCTCTCTAGCGCTCTTACCACATTGAGCGTCGGTAACCACCTATGGACTTCTCCCCAGTAGTTGCGAGTGCGCAAGTCCGGATCTGCACCATCATAGCTGGTCTCCTCGCGATCATCGGCTGTTGTCGTTATCTTCGTCAATCCCCCGAACAGCATGTTAAGATACGCCGCGACGTCGCTAGGCTGCTCGATCCCCGCCTTGAGCACCATCAGCTCACGCAGCGCCAGCTGGCGTGGGAACGGGCGAGACGACAGGAGACCGGAGGCCCGTGGAGCATCACGCGCGTCGAGGGGGATCTTGAGCGTGCGCAGCGAGCGGCAGTGTTCGGCGAAGGCTGCGAGACAGGGCAGCGAGACGAGTTTGCCGCCGGGGTCGGTGGTCCACAGCCGCAGGTCGACGAGGTGCGGCAGATTCTGTGCGAGAACGCCGAGGCTATCGTTGGTGATGTCGAAACCGACGTGGGATTTGATAGATATGCGCGTGAGAGAAGAGAAAAATGGGGAGCAGAGGAGGGTCAGGCTCCATAAGTCGCCTGCCTCGCCGTTATCCGAGCTGGAGATATCTAGCAGACGGAGTTCCGATGCAGAACAGCTCCTAACGGACGATACTAGGCTTTCGAAGGCCGAGTTGAGGACGAGTTCTTTCAGTCCGAGATAGAGGGTTGACAGCGGCGACCTGGTCAATGTTGAGAGAAGCAGGATTGCCTCCGCCTGTGTGACAGATTGCAGATCGAGCGCTTCGAGGGCAGGAAAGAATGGTGCTTCAGCGGGGAGCGTCGCGAGATCCTCGAGATTGGTGACGAACGTCGTGGAGAGCGACTGGAGTCGTGGAAGCGCACCCAGGCAAAGGAGAGTTCGCTGATTCGCCACATGCGCCGAAGCGGAGCGCAGGTCTTCGTACAGAGCGAACGCGGAGGAGAGCAGATCCGCGGGCCCTTCCTCGTCAGACGTATCGAAGTGCAAGCCTATATCACGCATCGTCTTGGAGAATCGATGCGAGATCTCCGATAGAAATGCCATGTTTTCGTCAGTATTCCCCTCTAAGCAGGGAGACCAGATGTGTAGGCTGGTCAACTTCGGTCCGAGAAACGGGCGCATGGCCGTAAGGTTGTTCTGATGCCACGTGAGCGATTGGAGCGAGACAAGGCACGTCTCGGGAGGTGGACAGATCAGGATCGCACCCAGTGCTTGGGCAACATCGAGCGCGGATCCTCCGGAGGAAGGGCAGGTCAAATCACGGATGCAAGGACCATAGATAACCGAGCGTGTCCAGTCTTGGGAAACGATGTCTCTCCGCGGTGACAAAATTCCTGTGTGGCAGAGAAGTCAGCTTTCGGCGGGTGGCGCAGGCAAAAATAGCACGGAAGTGACAACTGACTGGACGTTCCGGAACCCAAGCCCGCATTCCACACATCTTCTGGCATCGTGTATCTCAGCCAATCCCCAAGCTCGACGGTGGCCCATAGGGCTTCTATCGCGGGCTGAAAAAACACTCGACAAGTCTGAGCGAGCGCTGCGAGGAGTCCCTTGAGCTCGTCGCGCTCGACAGCTTCACAGATGAGGTTACGAATTTCGGCAACCTCCAGTGCGGGATGCATCGAGTCGCAGGGATGGGGGGTAGACGCGAAACACTGTCTGGAATGTGGGCCGAATGCAGGACGTCGTCAGGTATGCGCCGCGGATAAATGTCTTGAAATTATATAATGCTCTCACTCCGGAGTCTGCCGAGGAGAAAGAGGGTCTCCCCGACAATCCAAAGATCGAGATGGACCTGGTTCTTCTTGACGCTGGACCAACGCGCGTGAGTGCCATGCACGGTCCCGGGTGATTGGTTCAGTCGTCTGCGTCGTTTTGACCCAGTGCAGGAGGCAGCTGTTCGAGGAAGCTGATGAGCAGTGAAATGAAGATTCCCGGCGTGTTTTTCTGATGAGCACTCGGACGAAGGCGCGCAATCATGGATAGGCACACGATCAATTCTGTTTCGCTATTGCGTTGCCAGGCAACCAGTGACAATTCATGACGGCCAAGGATCCGTGGATAGTCGACAAACGCAAGGAGGTGAGCGGATTTTGCCCCAGTCGTCTGCGCGCGTGTGGCTCTGATCGAAGACAATCGCATCGGGCTGCGAATAGACTGAAAGCTGACTATTGAGGTTGCGTGTCCGCGATGAGCTCTGCAGACATCGATATCAAGTGTCCGCAAAGGATCGGGTTAGAGCGGCCTCGCGAGATTTCCATATGTCGTCTCGGAATCAGCTGGAATCAGAGAAGCAGACGACATTCGGCGGTATGTACATGAACCACGGCTCGAAAGATGTCGTCACCTGGCATTCTCATTGCCTCATTGCCCGGCTATTCCCGAAGGGAGTCCGTGGGGACCGGCCACCCCAGGCCGATAAGTTCTGCGGATGACCGGCTGGAAATGGAGGAGAGGATCCGTTCCGATTTACCTGTCGGATGGGAAGGGAACATGCATATTTGGGGGGTTCTTTCTTTCGAAATCCACGTGCAAGGCAAGCAATCGAGCAGGCGCACTCCTCCGGACCGGACGGAGGCGGACAAAAGCCATGAGGATGTCAGTCAGGATCACGTGAAAGCAGGATCCGGCCCGAAAAGCATTTGTAATAAGAAGCAACACTGGTGTGCCGGGAGCAGTTGTAAACGTGATGATCGATGCTCCGCCACAATCCGACTCTGGCTTGTACATCCGGTGCAGAAAGACAATTGCCCGACTCTGTGTGCGGGACACAGCAAGATAGATGCTGGCATCAGCCTCAGTGACTGTGTCTGCTTCAGTTGTTGAGTCCGTCACTGCAGATATTCCAGCGGCTGAGAATTGAGAATCATTCAATCGGCGACCAACTCAATGGCCAGATACTTACATATGGCCAGATATACATGTGCCGTTGTACACTTGCGGAGCCTTGCCATATACAACAACCTCTAACACCGAGAACCCCCAGATTTGGCAACACGGCCTTGGCAATGCCGCGATTGCCGAAGTTTCAACAGCTGGAGCGTCTTCAAATCTTGCCCAAACCGCTGGATGCATCGAGCCGTCACCGCGTGCAACCTCCTCAATGCCGGTACATAAGGATGGCCGGGGCAAGGCCCGATGTTGTAGGCGGTGTGATCTGACGCCGAACTTCGACTCGGCTCCAGCGGTTGGGTTGATCAAGTTGATATCGCCGCGTTCGCCACTTCATGGTGGGATTGTCACTCTAAAGTGCCTTCTGTTCTGAAATGAGGCCAATGAGGCCAAGAAAACCACGGAAACATGCTAGCTGAATTTCACTATCGCACATCCATTTCTCTGGGCATGGAGAGCCGTCCAAAATACTGCGAGCTTTAGAATGCATGCCAAGCCAGGCTGTCCAGATCGTGGCGGTCAAGTTCTCCGCTTTGACGATCGCGACCTGATTCGTGCGAATCTCGGATAATTTGGCGACGATCACGATGTCAACTTTAGTTCTGGCCATGTCACGTTGCACGGCACGTTGGAACTGGGATCGACTCAATGAAGACTCGCATCGCCCCAACGAGTTGGAGTTCGAGTGGGGGCGAGCCAATCAGACGGATTGAGCTTGGCTCTCCCTAATCCATTGGTCGAGACGCATGACCGCGCCGGTGCAATCGATCTCCCTGATACTGTGTCATCGAGGAACCCACTGCAATAAATCAAGATGGCCGCAAGAGTACAGAATGAAGATTGAGCGCATCAAGAAATTGTCTTGGCGTGAATGATGTGCTGCTCAACTAGATTGACGGAATGCGGAGATCTTACCGCCGACAAAGAAGAAGAATGTGGAAAAATCAGGGGAAACGAGATTGATTCAACACGTAAAGATACAAAACAGGTTGTGGCGTCTGCGGGGGTGGAAAGCGTACTGGACGCGGGTGCGGGTGATGTTACTAGTAGCACCAAGTCTAATGATACAGCGCAGCGCAGCGATATGTGCAGGTATAAGTGATCCCCCGGCAAATCGGAGAGCGGGAATCGAAGACTGAATGCACGAGACGATGAGGAAGTCGCGAACGGGAGAGATGAATGCGAAGCGAGCAAGCCCAGAGAGATCTATTGAGCAGTGTCAGCGGTGCCGGAACCACCTATCACATAGAAGGACCTGCCAGATGCAGTTTGTAAGCCGGCATCCCGGCTCAGGCTCGGGTTCTGGCGATCGTGGGAGCTCCTGCGCGAGGATCAGCATCGTCAGATGGGGGTGATATTGAATTGCAGCCGGGCCGACTGACGAGAAGGGTGGCATCGGAACGGCTCTGCTTCAGACGTAGTGCGGAGCCGGGCATGGGCATAGGTGCGGCGGAGGCGCTCAAGACTGGTAGACTTAGCTCGGGAAGAGTCAGATAAGATGGCCATCACGTACGACAGGATGCGAGCGAGAGGAGGAACAGAAAGGAGAGTTGCATTGTGAGCTCGGCTTGGGAGAGAATTGGTTTGTCTGGCAGCGGCGACGATGGATTGTAATCGCACCAGGAGGGGCACTTATATCCAACCCACCCAGCGCACAAACGAATCTCCGGATTAGGACGTTCGTTTGTCGGTGACACAACATCTGTCTACATTTGGAAGCAGTTACTAGTTTCGGCGGGGGGTCTGGTGAGTGATACGCATCGTGGTGGAAGTCAACTTGAACCAGTTGCCAGATGTAGAGTGGGCAGCGCGAGGGAACGGGGTGTGAGGTCAAAGGGAAGGCCCAAAGTGGGTGAAGATAGCAGTCCGTAGGAATTGATAACGAAAACATTCAGCCTGTTAAAGAAACAGTCGTTCCCACACCAATGCGAGGTGCTCTCCGTTGCTGCGATAGCTGAAACGCCGACGGCGCCCACAAGCACCCACGGATGTGATCAGGTGTTTGGTCGGATAAGCTATGAAAGATTGCTGTGGTTCACAAGAACAGCAACTTCTGTAGCCAAGAGTTCTTCGCCGAATTCTGCTCAAAACATAGTGCCCTTCCAACAATTGTGGCTGATGTCTCTCCAGGTGTGACGAGGCTAACACTCCCAGGTGCTCATACAGAGATATAGCTTCTGGCCTTCCCCTCCTCTCATTGTTCAACTTTCCTTCCGAACGACAAAATACGTTGATCTTACCCATGTAGATCGCCACTTTGGAAGATCACTCTCAATATCTGCTGATGCATGGCCTACACAGATCTCATGTTACCCCAAAGCGAGCTACATATCTACCGAGGGGGTGTGCTGAAGCAAGTACATAGTTTATGCGGGAGATCCATGGATATCACAAGCTGGCCGCAACAGTTGTAGCTGAGGACTACGACTCTCCGAATGATGAAAATACAATATATGTCATTGGAGCCAATAGAGCCGTCAGGACATTAAGTTAATGTCAGAAAGCTGCAGCCATGCTGCGTGATCAGTCTCAAGAATCCGCCGACACGCTGCCGGCAAGGGCTGTTAGCGCAGTTGGTAGCGCGTCCGCTTCGCACTGGAGTGTCTGCGGGAGGTCATCGGTTCGACTCCGGTATAGTCCATTTTGCATCTGGAGTACTACACTTTAATCTTACATCTACAAAACATCTCCCTCTTCAGTATGCTATTATGTTATGTATAAGTATCCCAGGTGATCCCGTCCTGTCAAATACCGTGATGCCGGTGTTGCTGCCACACTCTCGCCATCTCTAGCTGAGCTAGGTTCCGTGGTAAAGGGTGCGACTCGACGGACGAATGCGTCGAAACGTGTATCTACCCGCCCAGCGTGAGTTGAAATCGAAACCGAGCCAACTGGAGTCGGCGGAGTGCTACGCACCTCGACCTCGGTCATGGAGGGCATGGTGAAACTACTGCTGCTCCTCCTGCTGCTGCTGTCGGACTTGAGCGACGTGCCACGAAAGCTCCGCACGATACTCGTAAGAAGATGCGTACTCCGCTGCGGCTGCGCCCCGGTCCTGCTCTTGGCGGTGGTCGTGCGCTCGGGGTCGGGTTCGTTCACATTGATCGACACGTCCACCTCGACGTCGGCCAACTGCGGATCGGAGTCCATGTCGGACGCGCTGGGGCGGGACGTCACCCAGAAGAGCGCCGCCGAGTTGATGATCACCTGCAAACGAGTTTAAATCAGGACTGGACGGGAGATGCCGGGTGAATTGGAAACGCAACGTACGTCAGTCGCGCAGTTGGTAAGACACAGCCACCCAAGTTGTCGCCCGTGCATGACGGTCAGGACGACCATGTTGACTGTCGACGTGGAGAGGGCGATCCCTGCTGCTCTGCAGAGGCCGAGTAAGCACACGAAAAACATAGAAGGTGAGAGGGCGGGGGCGCACACTACGGTGTGGATGGCAACGCGCCGCAGCCGCGGGTTTCGCCTGCTTGAGCGAAAGATCGGGTATAGGAAAAGTCCCGTTAAAAGAATGTTAACGTATCTGGTGTGTTCGGTCAGTATTTTGCTCATCTCGATGACTGTTTACGCACAGATCGTAAGAAAGGAGCGGAATAGACGCGACGGTCTTGAGCCCAATCACACATGCACCGTCACCCTCCCTAAATTCATCGATGCGGCCTTTGCATTGGGATACCGGTTATCAATAGGTTTATCCGCCGGGTGAGTGAACGCACCGACGAACACAGCGACCACTACTCCGACATACATCGCCACAGTGACCGCGCACACGAGATAAACGGGAGACCGCACGCGCTCTGTGCCTGTGTCCCACACGATGTGCACACGCTCCGCTGTTCGCGCCGTCTGAGATGAGAGAGTGTCGGAGGAAGACAGGGGACACGCACACAGGAAGATGTATATGAGCACCTTGGACGTCGTATAGAACGTCACGCAGAGGTAGATTGCAGACCCGCACGAGGCGGCGTCGAGCTGTAGCCCGAGACCGAATATTAGGAAACTTGCTGCATGAAGATCCGTCAGCGCCGCCCAGGAAACAGAGGGTTTAGATGGCTCTGCACGCACAGACGAAGAGAAAGAGATAGGACGTAAGAAATACAAGGAGCGTGTACGTGCGGGGCGAGAACACCTCCCCCAGCGTCCTCCTGACCACCGACGGACTGAAGCTGCTCCAAGAGAAGGGCCCGCATTCGGAGACGCGCAGCGCGAGGAAGATGGAGATGATCGTCATGCCTGCAGCCGGATTCGGGTTAGGAGTTCCTAGCTTGGAATAGCACCAACGGCGACGCACCAACGAGATGGACGACGGCGATGAGCGCCTGGACGGGGAGACTCGGGAAGATCGTGTACGCCATCTATAGCGGAGCAGAGCCTAGCTCGAGCCGTATATGTAGCACTGCGCGCCGGGGATCCAGCGACGGACGACACGCGAAAGACATGATATATGCACAGCAAGAGCTTCTTATGCGTGTCATGTCCCTGGGCCGTCTTACACCCATCTCATCCATCTCTGGTAATTGGTTTTCGGGAGAGAGAGGAAAGCACGATTTGACCGGGTGGCGGAAAACGCGCGCGGAGCCAGGGACGGTCACTCGCGCGCGCGATAGGCATCGCCTCCCATCGCCCGCACGAGTGCCGGGTCAGGGTCGACCTGTGTATAGTTGGAACTTGTGCTGGATTCGGGTGGTCAAGGCAGGGAAGTGAAGGGTTTTACTTAGTGTCCCCTCTCCTCTGGTCTAGCCCGCCGTGGCAGAATCTGAGTGACGCCCATCGCAAGAGACGACTATCAATCAATCACATCGGTGCTCACATTTGATTCAAGCCGAGCGTAAATGACTAATAGAGGTGCTCGGGAACATATGGCAGCGACAGACACCCCACCTCATGAATCATACAGAGACTGTGCAATTTGCGCCGGGGATCGGTGGACAGTAAGGGTGGGAAGATCGAGGGGGAGGACAGGAGGAAGAAGCCGGCGGGATGTTTTCTGAAACGCGTTCATGAACGATTCCTCTAGCTCTGCTCAGGGACAGTACTCAATTGGAAGTAACTCGAAATAAGTCTGCAGCCATTGAAGCATCAATCGGATCATGATGGTGTCTCAGGGGAGAGGTGACGTGTCACTCACTTTCGGCCGCGCTTTACGAGACTGCTCATGTTTAGATTATTTTCCGCGCCCACTCGCTGGTTTGATCATTGAATGTCTTCGCAACCAGGCGGAGGTGTTTGCGCGGCAAGCTAACGCGGGTTCAAACCCCGGGAGTCAAATGAACACCCGTGAACCAAGTGCTCAATGGCAAGATGTCCGAGTGGTCTAAGGAGTGTGACTCAAGCGTTCTTCGTTTGCCTGCAATTCGTGGGTTTCTCATCTCAGCAATGGGGCGTGGGTTCAAATCCCACTCTTGTCATCTTTTGGTAGCGTCCACTGGGGTTGCATTCTTTTGCTCCCTCGTGTGGGATTTCATCTCCAGATGTAATATCCATTGTCAAGAACCCTACATAGGGCTATCCGCCGAACAGGTAGTCAAG